TACTCCAATAATTTTTTGATTCAAATGTTCGTTAAGTTTCGTAAAAATGTTATTGATGCCTCGTCTAGCTTTTTCACCAAAATTTGCGTTAGTGTTATCCGCACAATAAGCAATAATTTTATTGTTCAGATTATTCTTTTTCAAAATAGTACTTATTGAATCCAAAATTATTTGTGAAATTTCACCCGGCAATGAAACAAAATCTAATATTCTTATTTTAATTCCTGTTTCTGGATCAAAAAATCTAACAATTGTGGGAAATAATTTTAAATCTTTGTGGTTGGAAGCATCAGAATATATGGATATATGTGCATTTTTCTAATTCTTTCTGCAATTGTGAAAACGAATATGGTGAAAAAACATTACAAATAATTGCTTCGGTTTTTGTCCTTGCACATGCAAATTTTTTGTCGAATAATGTCTTGATCATTTGCGACGTACAATCCATTGATCTGAAACTTTTATTGTGGTTTATGGTGTGGAAAGCAAATAGCTCTTCCGCTAATGCTAGCTGTTTTTCTGTGTTGCCAAAGCTAGCACTGCGAAAAAACTGTTCCCTATTAGACGAAGAAGCGGCATTATTCAAAAATCTTTTGTGCCTCTTTGTCGCTAGATGTTTAGTAATATCTTTTTTTCCACCATGTGAGACCGGAAAAAATTCAGCATTGCATTTAACACACCGTACCATATAGTCTATTTTAGTTTTTTCAATAAATGGAAATTCTCTGCTTATAAGCTCTTCATTGAATTTGCATTCTCTTTTTTTACTCATCTTTTATTCTGTGGGTAAATACTAAAAATAAATAAAAAATTTACTACAAAGGCTAAAAAAGAGTATTAAATTTTATCTTATTGGCCGTTACGTTGTAGCGACTATTGCTCTACCACTACCTTCGTCAATCGAATAATGAGTCAAACCGAAAGTCAAATTGAAAACAACAAACAGCACTGTCTGCACTTATCCGAATTAAGTCGAGACGTAACGACAATGATCGGACACCACCGAGTAAATCTAACTCGGTACATTGCCTAATTTAGCTTACTCTGCATGTATTTATGTGTTTTTTTTAATGTATTTTCTATTTCTTTATATTCACCATTATACTTAATAAATAATAGGTAATATATTTTTACAGTACATTTAAAATAAGGAATACAGATCTTTTCTAAAAAGCGGCACATTTTTAAAAATCGGCGGGACGCGGGACAGTCCCGCCAAAATTGGGACGTGTGGTCACTTTATATTAGTACTTGATAACTAGTTTTTATAGAAAAATAAGCTTTTTGTTATAGCAAAACACATTTTTCTTTATAGGCATATGATACATTTTATATGCATATTTTAATAAGTTTAAAATATGATAAATATGATTTCATTGTAGTTGCAGTCAATTGAATTAGTAACTCTACTATTTTTAATCTTTTTTATTCGTATTTGTTGTTTTTTTTTAAAATCTATTTCTAAAAGTATGTCTTTTACTTTTGTTTAAAAATAAATGAGTTTGGTTGGAAAGTGCTAGATGATCCTGATAATCAGATCTAATAATAGGAACAATTCAGCAATTCCTCTTTTTCTCTAAATATCCAGTATGAATGCCCAATCTAATTTTCATCAAAAGGCTGAATTAGCAATTTGATTATGTTAAATTGAGGTACAATCCACAATTTTTATAAAACTGTATTTAGTGTGTTATAATTTGTGGTTTCAGAATTTTAGGACTTATGGATAGTATTAAAATAAAAAACTGTCCTTGAATATAATTAAGGTAACTTCGGGTTGAATACTTTTTAAATAATTTTAAAAGAGGTAATCAAATCTTTTATGAAGAAGCTTATTTGTTATAAAATTTGAATTGACCACTTTGTATATTTCATTTACAATGATATTAATTTAATGAATAAATCATCATATTTTTATAATGGTAAAACAAGGGCCACTCAAGGGCTTTTTTTTTTAAATGTTCAGTTTTATTCAAAATTAGTGAAACACAGAAATAGAAAACTGCATGCACTTGAAATAAGTGAAACGCATTTATAAAAATAATAAGTTCTGGTTTTAAAAAATTTACACCAATATACAATTTATATAGAATATTAAATCGTAATATTTACTCTTAGTTAAAAGTTATTTCAAATGGGAGTTTAATAAGTAATGATATTTTGAAATAATTACCGTATATCCTGGTAATATATGTATAAATATAATAGCAAATATATGTATATATTTGCTGTTCTTGGATCTTTAGGATGCCAAAACGCAAGAATTTAACAATTTTTAATCATTTTGAGAAAAAATCACGACCTGAAATTAGTGAGGTGACAGCATCTGGTACCAATGTAAGTTTTTCTATTGAACAGAAATGTTATACTTCCGTTTTAGAAAACATTTCAAGCATAACAAAATCTGATGAATGTGAAAGTGGCCCTCAAAGTGCTACTTCCCACCCATATGACATTGGACATTTTTCAGAAGATATTACATGCGAGAAGATATTACACTATGCTCTTAAACTTAAAAAATAAAATCAAAATTTAACTAAACAATGCTGTCTAAATAAAAAATCAAAATTGTTAGCTGTCTAAATTAGGGAAATAATAGTGCTTTATTACATACTCGAATTTCTTTTAGTAATTTCAGAAAATTATGAACACCCCCCTTGAAAAAATTCTGCGTACGCCACTGTCCTGGTATATATAAATCTAATTTTCAAACCCCAAAAATCAGGGGTCAACTTATACACCGGTATTGTTGATCATGAAATATCTATTCATTATAAACAATGAGATAAATATGAATAACTCAGTGTCAATTTTCTCCTTTAAAAAACTTTTTAATATGTCATATACAACTAATTTTGCACTTTCTCTCATTATATAAAGCTATTTTAGAAACCATGCTTTAAAATACGTACAGAAAAAAAATTAAGAACTCAAAAGTTAAAATTATTGATTCAAGAATATTTCATAAAATTAATAGTCAGTGAAAACTTTTAAAAATGTCATAAAACTGCAAATTCAAAGATTCCAGTCATCTGTGTCAGATTCAATAATGTACGAAGTGTCAACAGACAAATCCCATTCCACAATGGATTCTACTTTCATCCTCATCTGTTGAGTCTCACGAAAAATCATCTTTACACCCATCCAAAGAATTCAAAATTCCACCCTTTTAAAAGATTTTACAATAACATTTGAATCTACATTTTGCCACATTTGATAATGCTTCTTTATATTATGATATAGTTGATCATAGTGTGCCTCATAGCATCTTTATAAAGGCAAAAATGTCGCATATCCAGGAAGAACAATGTGAAATATTTTTAACTTATGAAACTTTTGTAGATTTAATAATTTTTATTTTGTTCTTTAATTTCAGAAATTTTCAGATTCGGTGTTTTGAACGCTCGACCTATGCACCCAACATGCTGGAAATTTCGTAATTGAAAATAGGGAGAACGGGTTGACTTATACATCGAGATATCCAATAACTGAAGAGTGATATAATCTAAATTGAAATTATTGAATCTATCCAATATTTTTTTAAGTAATTTTTATTTAGTTTTTATATTATAATTATTTTAAATAGTAGTTTTTTATTATAGTTTAGTTTGTGGTTAATGTTGCTTATTATTATAATGAGGAAGAAATATTTCTAGCATTTTATGTTACCATATAAAGTTCAGCTTCTTTTCCAAAACTGCTGTGGTATATCTGTAAAAAATAAACTTCTGATTAATTTGATTGTTGCAAAATTCAAATGAATTTCGCATTATAACTTCTTTTATGTTCAACTATGTTATAATAAAATAATAACTCATCTAAATTTAGTTGTGACTTAGTTATCCAACTAAAGAAAAGTATTTTTTTTAATAATACATAATGACCTTATTTATTTTATAATTTTTTTAAAATAGTAAAAAGAGTATTCTCAAAGACAAGTTGTCTATTTATGACACTTTTACTCAATTAAAATTAACATGTTGACCTTGATTTGCAGAGGTAAAAAATTTTCTCCCTTAAAAGTAAATTTTACCCATACGTTTGTATTATGAAGTTTACTATTTATTGCACATCATTTAATTTTGGCTTACCATGTATTTCCACTTTAATAATTCTAAGAATTGTTGCAACTACCCTTTACTTTTAGTTTCATGTTAGAGATAGCATAGAAATGGTTTATTAGTTTGTCAAAATTGTTCGATACTAATTTATTGATTTGATTTCTATGCTGGTTCGTTTGTTAACAAATGATTAAAATAGATATGGACTGTATTAAAGATTTTATTATGATTGGTGCTACGAGCACGCTATTGCTATAAGATCAGCAACTAATTTTCAACTGATTAGGGTTACAACAAACGGTGGCGAGGATGCTGAGACAAAGATGCCAAGTTGGCGCTATATAAATTAGCACAACAATAGTACATAAGCATATTCCAATATAAAATTTGCAAAGATTGAATAAATGCTGTAGGTACACATAATGAGAAAATTAACATACATATTTTTAATTGTTCAATGGCAAAATACACAATTTACTAATGCTAAGTTTAACAATCCCCTTGCTTGTTTTAATCTCCGCTACTCTAACCTTTCCATCCGTTCCAGGAAATAGTTTTAAAATTCGTCCCAAGACCCACTGATTTACAGGAAGATTATCCTCCTTTATTAATACCATCGTATTTAAATTTATGTTGGTTTTCTCTACTTTCCATTTTGTTCCTTGTTGCAAATTGTTCTAATAGTCGCGAGACCATTTAGTCCAAATCTATTGAACAATTTTTGTCAACCTTTGCCATCGAGAAAGTCGGGTTTCCGATTTATCCAACAAACTTGGTTCAGCTATGGCAGTTATAGACCTTCCAACCAAAAAATGCCCTGGTGTAAGAACATCCAGGTCATCAATATCATCTGACAAAGGTGTTAATGGCCGAGAATTTAGGATTCCTTCGACTTGTGTTGTTATTGTATCCGATGATATTGTAGCACATTTGCCACGCCTAGCCACAAAACGTAGCAAGAAAAGCATCGGTTGTTAAATCGGAAACAACTTCTAAGTGAATCGCCTTCGATGCTAAACACACAAATATTGCAACATAAATTCGTTGGAAATTCCCTTTTCTCTGGTGTTTATACTTAATTTGGAAAGGGCCGCAATAATCAACACAAGAGTGCAAAAAAGGATAATTAGGGTTTACTCTTTCTCCAGGCAAGGTTCCCATAAGTTGATTTGTAACAAGGGGTTTATGTTTAAAGCAAACTATGCATTTATGAACAATTTTCCTAGCTATCGATCGACCACGAAGTGGCCAAAACCTTTCTCTAGTACAATATAATAACGCTTGAGGTCCTAAATGGAGATTTTTGATATGCAAATGAGTCATTAACAATTTAGTGAAAGGATGGTCGGCAGGTAGTATAGCTGGATGCCTTTGAGAATAATCCAGAGCAGCATTATGCAAACGACCACCGACTCTGAGAATTTGATAACCATCAAGAAAGGGATTTAAAGAGTTAAGTTTACTCTTACTTGAAAAAGCCCTGCCCTTGGAAATGGCCTTTATTTCCTCCTTTAAAGCAGATGCTTGTACATTTCTAACTAAAAAGGACTCCGTCTCATTTAGTTCATTAGAGGATAACTTACCAAATCTTTTGTTACCTGGATTTCTACAGTTGAATATGAATCTGAAAGCATAACTTAAAACATTCGAAATTTTAGCATAATTATTGCTACGATTTAAAATATTGTCAATTAAGTCAAGTTTGTAAGAAGTTAGAAGTATTTTGGCAGGGGGTTTGAGTTCCTGTAAAAATTCACTGTCCGAAGAGAGTTTTTCAAAATCTATTAGAACAATATTCAATTCTTGTTTCAAAAAATCTGGTCCGAACCACCAGAGTTCATGGGAGGAAATTTCCGAAGCATTCAGACCACGAGAGAGGACATCTGCAGGATTTTTATCAGATGTAACGTGATTCCAATGACAGTTCTCAGTGAGTTCTTGTATTATTTTAACTCGATTGCTGATAAAAGTCTTGAGTTGATCAGGTGACCGTTGAAGCCATGCCAACAAAATTGTAGAATCTGTCCTCAACATTATTTGTTGAATGGGCAAGGTTAGAGACTTCAGAACCTTGTTCAAAAGCTGTGCCAATAAAACACTGGCACACAATTCGAAGCGAGGGATCGTGATAGGCTTTACTGGTGAAACGCGGGACTTGCTGCACAAAAGTCTCGTATATGATGTTTCTCTCGAATTTGATTGCATGTGTAGAACTGCTCTATCCGCAACGATTTCTCCGTAGGGTGCACAAGAAGTTCCGTATGTAATGTGGCGTTTTTGAATAATTTTTAATAAAGGATAAATAGAAGTATTACTTTTAACTAGTAACATTTTATTATTTAAACAATTTAAGAAATAACATTAATAATGTGGCATAACTATATTGAACAAAATTTAGCAATTTACAGGACTATTTTAGAATTAGAATATACAATTAATTCAACTTATTTATACATTAATTCTTACGTGCTTTTTAGAATAGATGGAGAGAGACTTACCAAGTTTAGTCATGGTTCGGCCTTTTGTCACTTAGGCTGATTGCTTTTTCAACCCTTTCCTTCGGCTGCTTTTATATCGTATTTTTTGGGTGATAAAAAGTTACAAATCTGAGGAAAGGTCAAGTTCAAAAGTTATTGTTGTTTTCGAGTTTGTCCCGTGATGGGTCAATCACATGATGGGGGTGACATTGTAAGATTTAAACCTAATCGTTTATTTGAATTACTTTATCCGTATTTAACTTACTATTTGCCGATAGAGATTTCCCACGGTAGGTTTTATTTAATCGAAGACTCTGAAATGTTCCAGAAATCTAATCTTAGCCCTTTCTCTTGATTTTAATTTTGAGTGACGATAAGCGTCACAGTAACAGTGTTAAGTTTGACAGATTGCACTGGGTCATTCACGCTGTTCTTCCATAATATCAACTGTAAATTCCGATGATCAGGATGAATTAAAATTTGCCTAAACTTTTTAGAAATGTCAGTAGTGAACACATATGCATGTTGCCTGAATCGCAAAAGAATTGAAAATAAATCTTGTTGTATAATACCGCCCTAGTACAAAATATCATTTAAAGAAAGACCCGATGTCGTTTTGGAGGAAGCGTTAAATACCACTGTCAACTTAGTGGTTTTACTATCTGGGCGAAGTACACCATGATGAGGTAAAAAATATGAAGCGGTTATATCAAGAGGTTCTACAACTAATTGCATATGCTGCAAGTCAGCATATTCCGTTAAGAATGTTTCATAAAGTGATTGCAACTCATCATCTTTCGAAAGTTTTTTCCACAACTGATTTAAACGCATTTCGGCAACGGCTTTAGAATCACCGAGCGAAGCGGGATCCGCTTTTAAAGGCGACTGTACTATGTAACGCCCTTCATGATTTCGATAATGAGTATTTTTATATTGAGTTTCGCATAACTCAAATTCGACACTATGTTCAACAGAGGGCTCCTCAACAGTTTCTATATTCCAAAATGCTTGTCGCTGTTTATCAAGGCTTTCCGAATTTATATCTGAACTAAGCGTTAATCCACAATATGCTCTTTTTGTACTATTATCGGAGCTCCCCACGACAATGTAACCAAATACAGTTTCTTGAAACAACCAATTACTACATGCCGATCGAAGCTGATTTGGCTTTAAAATTTCAAAAAAGAGCTCGCAACCTATAATTAATTCTACTTCCTTTAGTGTGTTAAACTCTGGATCAGCCAAATTAATATCCGATGGAATCTTTATATTAGATACTTCAACCGGATTAATTATCGTCAAATTTGTAATCGAAGGAACAATTAAAAATTCTAAAGATGTTGAAAAACTCCCACTAGTGTTTTTAATTACAGTGGTTACCTTTTGTTTGATATTTACCGAAATATCGCTCAGTCCTGAAACAGAAGCATTTATTTTTTCCTTTTTCAACATTAAGTTATTAGCTAATTTTTGTTTACAGAAAGAAAGATGAGAAGCGGAATCTAAAATCGCTCTGCATGGATAATAGTCTCCCAATTCATTTCTAATATAAACAACTGTAGTAGGCAAGAGAATATTTTGTTTCTTTTTTGATACTAAACAATTTGAAAAAGTTTTCGAATGTTCTTGTGGGAATGAATCATGCACTTGCGAGACAGTTGTTTGATCGGCGCCTGCCATCGTAGAAACTGAGGAGGTAGGAGGTGGGGAAGAAATCTCATAAATATGCAGCAAAGTATTATGGCGTTTCTTGCAAACGAAGCAGGAATTATCCGATTTACAGTCTTTTACTTTGTGATTATTCTTTAAGCAATTAGTACACAAATTTAAACGTTTTATTTCATTAAATCTATCCGAAACCTTCATATTTCGAAAAGTGTTGCACTTATAAATCATGTGTGGTAATTTATGTGTTGTTATGTATTATTCAGTATATCTTAAATAAATGAGCAGGATCTAGCATCTCGCTAACACATTTAATAACAACTTAACGAGATA